CTGTACAGCATAAAAACCATTACGCCTATGGGATGTCCCCACTTTTCACAAATGTAAACCTGTGTGTGTGTGTGTGTGTGAGAGAGAGTGTTTGTGTGTGTGTGTGTGTGTGTGTGTGTGTGTGTGAGAGAGAGAGAGAGTGTTTGTGTGTAAGTCAACAGGCCGTTCAGGGCAGCTTTAATAGAGCTCTTCTGTAAGAGTGACTCACATCCGAACTGAACAGAGGCTTTCTGACTGACGAGCGTCCCAAACTCATTGCTGGCCAGACACGAGTAGTTCCCAGCATGCTTGCTCTTGTCGGGGAAGCTGATGATGAGGTTTCCTCCCATCAGACTGTAGTGATCGTCATTTCCAATAACGACTTCTGTGTTGTTCAGCCTCCACCTGAGAACACACACACACACACAAACCATCAGAACTGATGCAAAATGCCTTTACTGAGACTGATTTATCAGATTATTGCTGATACATTAATTACAGAAGTTCTCCAATGAATGAATCTAAATAAATCTAATGGTCAATGATAAAGAAGATTTAGAGGAATTATGATGTGGAACCAAATTAAGCCAAATTACAGCAACAAATTATTTTAGACTGAAGTGCCACAAAAATAGACATGATACCGTGATAATATCACTTAATGGACACTGAACACATCATTCCTTGAAATACTTTTGAAGTAACATATGACAGGGTTATTATAGCTAAAAGTAGCATTTAAAAAAATAATTATTTGAAAAAAAACATTAACTGAAAATAAATATTTAATATAAAAAAAGTATTTCATTTCAGCTAATTAACAAGACAACATGCCCCTTTTTCATTAGGCATATTAGACATATTAAATTAATATAAAATGAAAATGGAAAATATAAAAAAATAAAAACTTAATTTAATTCACCTGTAATTTTAAAGTCAAATTGTTTTATGTGAATTATGAACTACAGCACTGTCACAGAACTATTTTCAGTGATGGAGTGAATAATAAAGAAGATTATTGGACTATTATTGTTGAACTTAGATTATTTATTGGATCATCATTTATCATCTTAACCCTATAAAAAGTCATATCCATCTATAATGTTTGAATATTGTAAACCTTCAGTAGTACGGTATATACAGTGGGGCAAAAAAGTATTTAGTCAGCCACCAATTGTGCAAGTTCTCCCACTTAAAAAGATGAGAGAGATGTAGCATGGTATAAACATTTTTGGACATTTTATATAATGTCCAAAAATATATATACCATACTACATATATATATATATTAAAGTGACAGTAACACTTCATTTCGATAGTTCACTTTCTCCATGTCAGCTAACTCATCATCAGTATCAGTGACTGTCTGATTAATATCTGATAACACTTGATTTTGATGGACATTCTACTGATAATGTGACTACATGTTAACTTATTCGACTAACCCTAAACCTAACAGTCTAGTAATACTCTACTGAGAGTGAGTTGACATGAAGTTGCACTGGGATTTAGCAGAGTGTCTGAAGTGTGAGTGTGTGACCTGTACGAGGCCGGCGGGTTCGCTCGCGTTCTGCAGCTCATGATGATCTTGTCCTCAGGAGACTCTTCAGGGTAAATGGTGTCGACGGGCTGCTCCTCAAACACGGGCCCAAAACCTGACGACTCGTCTGAGACAGAAAGAGAGAAAAACACACGATTCAATACAGCACAGAGCAGCGTTTACATTACAAACATAAGAAAACTGAGCTTATACTGATGAACATTAGTTTTTTTCATTGTGACATTATTCTTTTAATGCCAGTGGTCAGAATGGACTGTCTTTACTTTCCTAATGCTGCTCTTATTAAGCATAATTCATCTTCATAATGTTTCAGTCTTACTCTCTCCGTAATGAAACTTCTGATGGTATCGATGGATGGACAGTAATATGAACTAATGTTAGCAATCCAATCCACTCTTCATGTTCCAGTCAAATTTGTATTAAGTGATTTTTTTTATGCTTATAATGATGTAATTTTTCGAATGTATCTGTTCATGTATATGTATATCAAAAATATTAAAAATTACAAAAAACAAAATTACAAAAATTTTTACAAAAATTTAAATGGAAACTATATATATATATATATAACTGTTATTGTGTCCACATGAACAAAAATATTAGAAAAATTACATCATTATAAACAAAAAAATTACTTAATACAAATTTGACAAAATTGACTGGAACATGAAGAGTGGATTGATTGCTAACATTTGTTCATATTACTGTCCATCCATCGATACCATCAGAAGTTTAAGACTGAAACATTATGAAGATTAATTATGCATATTAAGAGCAGCATTAGGAAAGTAAAGGCAGTCCATTCTGATGCTCCATTAGTGCATGCTGGGATATCAGTCATCAGAGACGGACGCAGTGCGATTAAATCATCACCGACCATCACAGCAAACCTCCTGAAGATCTCAGCACTTTCTCCTACAGACACGGACAGCAGGAGATGCTCCTCCTGAGAAGGAGACCTCAGATCTCAAGATCATAAAATCTGGACAATGACTAATGACTCATTTGGGTCTGTTTTTAGTTTTAGGAGAAACATCTGAGCTCTGAATGAGAAACCCTGAGCACTGAATGCTTTACTGGAGTGTCCATGGAGCTCCATCATGATCCGAATGTCTCCTCCTATCAGCTTCAGACTGAGACTGAGATGATCTGAACATCTCAAGCATGTCTCTGAAGGCCATCAGGATGACTGGATGTGATGTCACAGGAAATACGGGCTCGCATCTGATCACTGTCTGAACCTGCACTCACAGCCAGAGAAAATCCCATCCTCAGTGATGGAAAAACACAAACCCTGCAGAAATACTGCATACATCAGAATTCAGTTGTTTGGAGACTTAGTCCAACATTGCTGTCAACTACACTGAAACAACGACAAACAAACAAATGAATAATTCCACTCTGATGAGGACAAATCAAAAGAGTTTAACTGCAATTCATGCAAAACACTATGGAAGTTAAAGTTTCCACCACAGAATAAAAAAAATGTCAAGTTTTATTTTTATTTTATTTTAACCTTTTTTCTTGTAATTCTGAGTTTACATATCACAATTCTTTGTTTGTTTCTACCATGGAATAAAAAAGTGATTTATCTCACAATTCAGACTTTTTTCCTCAGAATTGCAAAAAAAAAAAGTTAGATATAAACTCAAAATTGCAAGAAAAAAAACTTTAAAAATTACCTTTAAAAAACATGGCAGAAACCAATAAAATACAGTTTTTTAGTCAGTAAAAAATAACTATGACAAGTACCATATTTTCTTGAAAAAATCTATCATTGTTGAGGGGAAAAAACACAGGTAAGTTGCATCGTTATATAAGTCATTTTATTATTGCATTCAGAAATAATGTAAAATACGGGTAAATAAAATAAAACGTACTCTGTTACTAACGTAGCCTTGGTTCCTTGAGATACGGGAACGAGTACTATGTTGCTAAGACGCTATGGGAAAAAGTAAATTTTCTCCGATGACTGAAGCCTTTTTTAATAATGCAGTGTAACTGCATGGCCATTGGTTCGTGCAGTAAATTAAAAATGAACCAATGGCTCGGCAGCGGAGCTGCACGAGCCTATGGCAGTGAAGACTGCCAGAATGGGCGGGCGCATCTGGCTATATAAGCGGGCATTTCGCCATAGGATCCTCAGGTTACTTCGACTGAAGCGACGACACTGAGTCGTGCAGCTACATAGCATGGCTAGTTACACAGTACTCGTTCCCGTATCTCAGGGAACCGAGGTTACGTTAGTAACCGAGTATGTTCCCTATCGATACTTCACCCGTACTGCATCGCTAAGACACTATGGGACAGCATGTCTGCTCCTTGGTTCAGAATGCCCGGAACATGGATTGCTATCAGTGAACGCAAGCTGAGATGTGCCCATTCCAAGAGGCGCTCTGCTAGGGAGAAGCGACACCTTGAAGTGAGCCCACCCTGGCGATTTATATAGGACACCACTGTCATGCTGTCTGAGCAGACTAGAACATGGTGTACCCTTAGATCTGGTAGGAAGGTTTGAAGGGAGAACCCAGTGGCGGGGCGGGGGGGCGGCAGGAGCCTATGGCAGTGAAGACTGCCAGAATGGGCGGGGTCATCTGGCTATATAAGCGGGCATTTCGCCATAGGATCCTCAGGTTACTTCGACTGAAGCGACGACACTGAGTCGTGCAGCTACATAGCATGGCTAGTTACGCAGTACTCGTTCCCGTATCTCAGGGAACCGAGGTTACGTTAGTAACCGAGTATGTTCCCTATCGATACTTCACCCGTACTGCATCGCTAAGACACTATGGGACAGCATGTCTGCTCCTTGGTTCAGAATGCCCGGAACATGGATTGCTATCAGTGAACGCAAGCTGAGATGTGCCCATTCCAAGAGGCGCTCTGCTAGGGAGAAGCGACACCTTGAAGTGAGCCCACCCTGGCGATTTATATAGGACACCACTGTCATGCTGTCTGAGCAGACTAGAACATGGTGTACCCTTAGATCTGGTAGGAAGGTTTGAAGGGCTTGACACACTGCCAGCATTTCCAGGCAGTTTATGTGTAACTGGCTTTCCTCCTCTGACCAGGGGCCAAAAGCCGGATTGCCTTTGCACAGAACTCCCCAACCTGTGTTGGAAGCATCTGTCGGGATAACCTTCCTTCAGCAGACCATACCCAGATCTACGCCCCGCTTCAGCCACTGGGGGCTTTTCCAAGGTGCCAGAGCTAGGGGTGGAACCTTTGGTTTCAGCCAGTACTGTAGCGGCCTCATGCAAAGAAGGCCCAACTGTAGCACCGGAGATGCGGAGGCCATATGGCCCAGCATTTTTTGAAATACTTTGACAGGGCGAGAGGCTCCAACTTTGAAGGAAGCCACGAGCTGCTGTATGGCCGGTGCGCATTCTGGCGCGACCACCGCCCTCATTTGGGCTAAGGCGAAAACCACTCCCAGGAACGAGATCCATTTGCTGGGGAACAGAGAGCTCTTGGCAAAATTGACTCTGAGTCCCAGGCATTCTAAGTAGCTGAGGAGGAGGGATCTGTGGGATAGTAGCTCGTCCTCCGACTGGGCTAAAACAAGTTCAACAATTCAGAATGCGAATTCCCATCTGCCTCAGAGGGGAAAGAGCCGCATCCATGCACTTCATAAATGTGTGAGGAGCTAGGGACAGCCCGAAGGGAAGGACCGTATATTGATAAGCCACTCGAATCTCAAGAATCATCTGTGATGGGGGACTATTTGGATGTGAAAGTAGGCATCTTTCAGACCAGAGAAAAGAAGCAGTCCCCTGGGCATATTTGCGAGAGGATCTGTTTCAGTGTAGTCATCCTGAATGGCCGTTTCATGAGGGCTCAATTCAGGCGCCTGAGGTCGAGTATGGGCCACAGGCTGTCATCCTTTTTGGGGACCAGGAAGTAATGGCTGTAGAAGCCTGAGACGCTCTGAGCTGGGGGAACCATTTCTATGGCTCCTTTTGCCAGCAAATTCATCACCTCGGAGTGCAGGACGTGTGCGTCCTTGCTCTGCACCAGAGTGGGAACCACGCCGCTGAAACGTGGGGGTCTTCGAGCGAATTGAAGTGAGTGACCTCGTCTTATTATCCCAAAAACCCAGTCTGGCATGCAGGCGGACTGAGTAGGGGGCGCGTCACGATCTTTTGAGCTTGTTGTGGACCTCCAGAAAAAAATTGAGAGGCTCGCTGACGAGGGGCTTGAAGGTGCCCCGGCAGGAACCATTCGTCCATGCGACTGCAAGTGGGCTCTTCGGAGGAAGACCACTCAAATATCAGCTCCTCGACCGCTTTCAAGAGGACACAGAATAATTCGCCATCCATCCTGTCTTTTGCGTCGCTGGGTTCGGACGATGACAAGGGGGCGGGTTTTTAACTGAGCCCGACAGCTCCTCTGCATCCGAGGCTGTCATGCTGTCATCGAGCCTTTCATCGTTACTTCCACCAAATGAGTTCAGGTTGCTCGCGCTGAGTGAAGAGGATGGGGGAAGCCTTTCTGTGTGGAGAGAGCGAGGCACGTGGGATCTGAACCGGTGTGCTGAGATCCTCTGCCCCACTGTTTTTTCCTTGCAGGTCCCTGGAACGTGAGGGGTGGAGTCGCTCTCTGAAAAGAGAGCTTTCCGCAAGCGCAGAGTGGCGAGACTCATGCTCTCGCAGTGAGAACAGTTTGTCTCCATGAGGGCAGCTTCTGCGTGGGATTACCCAAAGCAGAAAGCGCACTCTCTGTGGCTGTCATCAGCATGCAGGGGAGACCTGCACACGCTGCAATAACAGAACGATATTTGCAGCAACGCCGCAAAATTTGCTCTTTAGAAATATGCTCTTTTATACATGCTCGCCGGATGGCGGCAGGGGAAAAACCGTGACCACTGCTGCTGTGACGCTGAAGGCGACGAGAGAAGTGGCGAATCAGCCGAGCAGAGGGGATCGTCGTCGGCTTGTTCCACTGCAAAGGCGTGTTTACAGCGAGCAGGCTTCGAGTCTCGTAGATCAGAGAAGAATGTCGTCATTGCTGAAGGAGAAGAAATCTGAAGATCCTATGGTGAAAATGCCCGCTTATATAGCCAGATAACCCCGCCCATTCTGGCGGGCCATACTGCCATAGCCTCATGCAGCTCCGCTGCTGAGCCATTGGTTCGTTTTTAATTTACTGCACAAACCAATGGCCATGCAGTTACACTGCGTCATTAAAAAAAGGCTTCAGTCATCGGAGAAAAAGGACTTTTTCCCATAGCGTCTTAGCGACGCAGTACGAGTGAAGTATCGATAGGGAACTAACATTATAACACTATAAACAAGTATTTTAGTTCCTCTCACTGCACGACAAATCAATTCAGTGTAACCATATTCAGAACAGAACAGGAATGGAAAACATAAGCATAAAACAAAAATAAAAGTAGCATTCATTATAAATTATATTTATTATGAACACCAAGTCTTAACAAATTCATTTAAAGTGAAACTGTACATTGCGTACCTTTATTCAGCACGAATCTAAACGTGTGTTGATGTTCTTGACATTAATTGTAATATATAATATCAGTCTCCGCATATTTCAGATGATAAAAATGACTTGGAATCCTGAAGTTAGAGTAAATGAGTGATGAGGAAACTGGCGGAGGCTGATTGAGTGGAAATTAATGAAACTCATCTGAATCTGCTGACATCTCATCTGTGTCTGATCAGATATTAATTATTCATGAAAAGTAGTGCTGCTTCACTTCACTTATAATTTGATGTTGTTAACTCGTCCACGGCTCTGTTACTGTTTGCTAATGATCATAGAGAACATCCCAAAACCACCCAATCATACCACAAACACAGTGACGTTAGTTAACTCATCAAAACAAGAAAAATCACATTTGTCTATTTAAAGAAAACCGAAGCATATTTTTATGACCATTTGTAGTTTTTTTTCATTGTGACATTATTTTTCACATCCCCCAATTCGCATTAATGTGCTGCATTTAAATTTTTTATTAAAATCAGCATAAGTTAAAGGGAATAAATCTAATTATATCATGATGTATGAATACTTGACATGTTAAATACTATATGAGGGGCTTTGCATTACTGAACTCAAAATAAAGGAGATAAGTTAAAATAATACAGAAATTAAAATTAATTTCTGTTACGTATCCGGTCCATGAACTTCTGTCTGCTAGCCATCAGAGGTCACCCTTTTCATTTTCATTGACTCTCGCACTACACACTGTTGCATATCACCCCGGACTACATATCCCATCATTCATTGTACTGATTGCACACAGCACTGATTGCACATAGCTGTTTCATATCACTCATTCACTATTTAACACCCAATCTCACTCCGTTCTAGCTGCCGAGTATTGTATGCGTTTATCACTCTCTTAGCGATAGCTACTCTACGGAGCCTGTTTCCTTTCGATAGCCTTAGCCTAGTCTTGCCTTGTCTGTTTCCTCGTCTTCTGATTATTGCCTGTGTACTTCGGATTACCTCTCTCGTCTTGCCCTGTTCGGATACTGTTTGCCCCTGCCTGGACCTTTGAATTGTTATTGGATAACCCCTCCTGTCAAGCCCTCTGGATATTGTTAGCCACTTATCGACCACGCCCATTTTGGATTACTCTTCTGTCTTGCCCTCATTTTACCTGTTTGCCATTGTTCGACCCTGCCTGTGCTTCTGACCTCTTCTGTTTTAATAAAGCTCGCACACGGATCCGCACGTCTCACGTCTCGTCAGCCCCGTTACAATTTCCTTCAAGTGTATCACTTTTTTCTTATATTATCATTAACCAAAAACGAATTAAACCATAAAACTAAAACCACAAAAAGCATTACCTGAAATAAAATAAATATTAACTGAAGCATAAAATATAAATAAAAAAATTTACTTATTTTATTTCAGCTAGTTGCAAAAGCAACATTTCTCATTTTAATTTAGTTTACCTTGATGTACTAAAATAACTAAATAAATTAAAAACTAAAACTATAAAATCTGTATAAACTGTATAAAATGAATAAAAACTATACAGACATATTTCAAACAAAAATTTAACTAGAATAGAATAACTAGAATAGACTAAAATAAAATAAAGAATATAATAATTAATAATTAAACTAATAAAAATGACAAAAATACAACAAATTGCTAAAACTTTAACTAAAATAAACATGTAAACAGAGGATATAAAAGTAAAATCAAAATATACATAAAATATTATCATAATGATAGCAAAATAACACTGACTCAGTGAGATTCTGATGAATGCAATAATCAAGCCTGACTAAATATCATCATAATCCATCACAAACGCTGCATTTATGCTGATATTTCATATTAATGCAGCGTTGGAGTGACCCTGCGACCTACACTTGACCCTTTGACCCAGTTTCCACGGCGACCTGCAGCTCTTTCAGCATCCAGTCAAACACAGCCTCTCGAGTAAATATTTCACGTGTGTGAGCAGAGAATCACTGACCTGTCACACCCTAGCAACCATCGCCGCTTGACATCACCAGACAAGCAAAGTATGTTACCGGGGTAAACGTCACTAAAAATCTGACGCCAATAAATAATCCAGTAATCTGAAAACATCACAATATCATCACATATGAAAACAAAATGCAACTTTCACATGAATTACAGACTGGTGCTGGAATAAATAATATTTCTAACAGTAGCTGCTGAATTCAGTTCTGATTTCATGATGATTGTGAGAATGAGCTCATCTGATAGTGAACTCATCTGTGTTTCCTGAAGTGAGGAGGCGTGGCTGAGGCATTGTGGGTGATTGACGTGCTGCAGTTCTGTAAGGTTTGTGAACTGCATGCAGTCAGGCAGAGATCAAAGTCTCTCCAGGAATCAGCAAACGGGCTCCCGAGGCTTTGATGGAGAACGGGTGGGGGCCGCCAGAGACGGTTAATCTTCTGATCTCCCACAATGCCCTGCTCTTTTACCCGTGTCTTTATTAGAGCCCTGAATCACTGTAACGCCTGTGATCTTCACTGAACACTGCAGATTTGCACCAAACACACACACTTCACTGGAGGTGATGAACAAATACAGCACTCTAAATCATCAAATACTTCAAACAATTACATTAATTTATGAACGGTGTCATTTTCGGTTATGTATAAAGGTCTCAATTAACTGTTAATTAAATTTAGTGACACTCACTATGCGATGCTTATTATGCTTATGTAAAATAAGTCAGACAAATTAAAATGGACAATGCAGAAATTCTGAAAGAATAAAACATTTCATATGTCGCTTTTATTGTAAAACTAAATTAATAAATTATTAGTGTAATAATAGTGTAAGTAATTAGACATGCTTTTTAACGAGTATAATTTAATTAAAACATTAAAACGAAATCCAGAAATTTATAAATGGAAAACCCCAAATAAAAACTGATTTCACAGGGCCCTAAAAAATGTTATTGTAGGATTTTAATTAATTAGACATGCCCTTTTGAATTATTACAATTTCAATTAAATCATTAAAAAGGAATCCATAAAAATTTAAATGGAAGAAAAAAATATCCAGAAAATTAAAACATAAAAAATAAATAAAAGGAATTTGGGAAAAAAATTAAAACGATTCCATAAGGCCCCCATAAAACGGCTTCAGCTTACATGTTTTCAGTTAATACGTAAAATTGTGTATAATTATTATGTAATTGTGTATGGAGACAGTCCTTCAGCAGCTTGTACTGTCATAATTTCTCAGTGTGTCCTAACCAGGTTTCCATCTAGATGTTTGTCTAAACTTAAAATGTAATGTGGTTTCATATTTTGGGATGATAGGAACTGAAATAAACCTAATTAAATCACATTGTAAACCAACAGTTGAGACTGTATCTGTGCTGTACTCACCTCCAAAGACTGCTGGGAAATCAGCACACACTGACCAGACTGAAAGAGAATCACAAAAAACACGTCATCTGTAGATGCTTGATGAGTTTCTGAGTCCTGATTCATTTTAAACCCCAAAACGATTGAATGCATCTCTTTATTTCTGCCTGATTGATTTTACGGTACGAGTCGAATGAGAACATCACTGCTAAAACATCAAGTGAGTTTGAGCATCTTTCTGTATGAAGAATGACATGCAGAGATCTTTAAGAGTGACTGAAGTGTTCAGATTAGAGATATTATGCTGGATTATCACAAAAATATTAATATTATCATCATGATCCTTAGGAAATATGCATTTACTGAACTTTTACATTTTTAAAAAAACATTCAACAATGTTATTAAACATGATTTTGTATTTGGAAATACTGTGCATTTATTGAACTTTAAAAAAATGAAATAAGAATTTTTTTTACAGTGGATTTATAAAAAATAATTCAACTGAAAAACTATTTATAAAAAAATCTAATAAAAAATATTGTAAATCAACGAGAATTATTTAACACGATTATAACACGACTCTGGAAGCGAAAGCTTATATTGAACTATATTGAACTTAAAAAACTTTTTTTATTTCAACTGAAATAGTAGGAAATCAACTGAAAAACAAAAAAAGTAAAATAAACAAGATAAAGAAGCATTGTAAATCTGAATTTTTAACATAATTATGCACTGACTTTTTATGTGTTAATGCTTAGTTTTTTTTTAAAAACGCATTATTTTTCACATAATTTACCTTTATTCCACACCACTCTGTCCCTTCTCTGAGAAACGCGCTGATAATTTCCTGTTTTTATGAAGCCTCTCCTTCAGAAATAGGCAATGGGCTCTGATTGGTTAGCTAGCCCAGTGTGTTGTGATTGGCTAAACCGCCTCTAGTGCGTGTTTAAACATCCCGCCCCTCAGCTCAGCGGCATGTGCTCCGGTTGTATTGTAAACAACGGCGTCGTTAATATCGCTTATCAGTTTGAGCCCGATTGAGAAGCAGAGGATATTATTGAAGAGGATCGTGCAGAACCTGTGCAAGCACGGCTTTTAATGGTAGGCCTATGTTTTTTGTTGTCTCATACTTTTAGATACACTGTTGTAAATGCTACTGCTTATGTTAGCTTTTAATATACAGTTTTATCTTGATTAAAGCTTTAATACAGTACAGCAACTGCACGTGCGTCCATGTTTAACGCTTCTCATAGCTATGTGAAAATAAGTGTATAATTGTAACAGTTCATTGTTGGAGCTGAGCTGAATGAGAGAGAGAGAGAGAGAGAGAGAGAGATGCAGAGTGTGTGCAGAGCAGGGGGATGCGAGGAACAGGATTGAGAACCACTGCTTTAAAACATTGATTTTGAAACTTGTGAATCCATTAGAATCGTTAGAAGACAGAATCACAATTCATATATGATTAGATTTTTACGTGCGCCTCACCAGTTTTCTCTTCCTCTTCTCTAAAGCAGTGCAGCATGGCCCCGCCCCCTTTGCTGCCTTTTCCCGAGGGTGGGGGTTTATCTGGGTTTGTGATGACACAAACCCAGGAAGTAACTTGTTGTAGTCCATATGCGCCATTTTTGTAGGCATTAAACTGCCAGAATTTTAAAAGATTCTTAAAAGAACTTTCAGCTTCGTAACTTTGCAGATATTGTTTATGCTCAAACAGCAACATTAGACACTAACTAACGTTAAAAAAGTGAAATTGCAATGAACCACCCCTTTAAAAAAACGTTTAGAAATTTTAACAGTGGATTTCATTGAACTTTAAATATAATTCAACTGAAAAACAACTAAAAATAAATCAAATAAAGAATCACTGTCAATCAGAAGTGGCACAATAATCGTTTAATCTTGTGTTTGTGATCACAGTGACTGAAGCTGAAGTTTGCTCAGATACGGTCTGGCTGTGATCGTGACTGATAGAGGTCGCTGATACTCACGGCGGCAGGAGAGCGCGAGCGAGACGCTCAGCAGGACGCAGCAGGACGTGTGGCTCATGGCTCTGTGCTGGACGGCCGCGGCAATCATGAACTACAGGAGATCTTCAGACATTCCCTGAGGAACACAATCACACAAACATACATTAAGTTACATTTCATCAAAACCACAGATATCAGAATCATCCTGAAATGGAAACAGCAGCTGCAGATTCTCATGAACAAAGATCCAGTTTAGACTCATTTAAATCAGTAAACTACATCCTGTACATTACTGGTCAAAAGCACAATTAAGATTTATTCATGTTTTTAACATTTTGTGGAAACCGCAATATAATAGAAATAATTAATTTTATTGCTCAAGGATGCATTAAATTGGTCAAAAGTAGCAGTAAAGACTTTTATAATGTTACAGTAGATTTCTATGTCAAATAAAAGCTGTTCTTCTGAACTTTCTATTCATCTGTGAATCCTGAAAAATAAAATGTCTCATGGTTTCCACAAAAATATTGTTCAGCACAACTGTTTTCAACATTGATAATAATCAGAAATGTTTCTTGAGCAGCAAATCAGCATATTATACTGATTTCTGAAGATCATGTGACACTGAAGACTGGAGTAATGATGCTGAAAATACAGCTGCGCATCAAAGAAATACATTACAGTTTAACAGAGATTCACAGAGAAAACAGCTGTTTTAAACTAATAATATTTTTTTTGGGATCAAATAAATGCAGCCTTGGTGAACAGAGCTTTTGTGCTGTCAGGATCAACATCAGCCGATTAAATCTGTCCCCTAACTAGCAGTGACATGATGAGTGTGACAGTGGAGTTCAACAAGATGACACGCAGCAGCTGGATTATG